AGATTTTCTGATCGAACAGTAGCTCAATCTGTTTATTCCCCTACCCACAAATCTGCAGTTTGCAGTCCATTTCAGCAGCAGCAACAGAACCTGTTATCTCCCATTAATACAAATTTCTCGCCGAGAAACATTGATAATCCTTTATTACAAGCCTCATTTGGAGTTCCATCATCAGGGAAGATGTCTCCCCGAGCAATGGAGCCAATCTCACCAAGAAATTCCCGTGTGTCAATATTAGCGCAACGTGACAGGCAGCAGCAATTTAGAAGTCTTAGCTCTCGTGATCTTGGCTCCAATGTTTCTGCTATTGTTGGGTCACCAACTGATACTTGGTTAAAGTGGGGTACAGATATGGGAAAGCCAGACTGGGCTGTCAATACTGAGGAGTTGGGTAGGCTAAGGCAATCATCATCATTTAAGCTTGCTAACAATGGAAAAGAGCCTGATCTGTCATGGGTGCAATCTCTTGTCAAAGAATCACCACCAGAAATGATGAAGGATAAATGTGTTCGTCATGTCTCTGAACCTGAACTAACAGGTGCTGGTGCAGATCTTGGTGAAGGCTCTACGTCCCATTCCCAGATTGATCAATTGAGTGCATGGATGGAGACAAAAAACACTAATTGATTTCTTCTGTCTGCCCAAGCCTTGTTGGGTACCTGTAGAATTAGCTGAGGTGTGCTCAAGCTGGCTCGAACACCACCGTCATAAAGAAACATTCTAATTCTTCATTTTACTGATCCTTGACATCTTCAAAAGCAAGGTTCTGGTAAATAGTAACTACATTTTATTCTACTTTTCTTGACATGTTTTCTTAGGAGCAAGACAACCGTGGAAACTGATAAACAACAAGCACAGGAAGGAGGTCCTAAATTCGGAAGAATATTGGCCGTTTTTTGTTTTCTATTTGAATTTGATTCTTGCTTTTCTTGACATGAAGATAAGCTTGTACCTTATTCCATTGTACTGAAACCAATTGATATGATCTTTGACATGAAGTTACTTCATTTGAGATTTGACAATCTCTTGTGATTTTTCAATCCACTTCTATGATGTGTTGGCTTTTGGAATAAATTTAGTGGTAGTAAGTTTTCTCATGGAAAGATATAAAGACCATTTGAGTGGTTTCTGATGCAAGATGCTCAAAGTTGTGAGAATTAGTATTCCATCCTTAAATAGCCTTATCTAGTTATCTTTTTGTGTGTTTGCAATAGCATGGTGATAAATGTAGATAAAGAATAATGGTGTATTCTTGCTTACTCTTGAATATAAGTTGTGGTGTCAACGGTCAAGACTTGGGTTTCTTGGATGTGTTTCCTTTTCATATCTGCTTGTATCGGAAATAATCTTTCTACTCGATAGGGATAAGGCTGGCGTACGTATCATTATCATCCTCTCTAGACCCCTATGTGTGTGGTTGGGGTGGGGGTGGGGGGTTAGCAAAAGACTCTAATATTTTTGTCGAGCGGTCAAATATGTAATTTTGATCCTATAAATTTTAATGTACTTTATACTTCCTATGAATTCAGGTACAAGATACTATTATTACGCCTGGTTAATTATCCAAACATCTAACTTGATATTGCAACAACCCAATTGCAAGAGCGAAGCTCTACCAACTGAGCTATATCCTGAGCCAAGTGCACTTTCAATGAAATTGGATAGATCATACAAAAATTACATATTTGTAAATACAAAAGCAAGTATAACGTCAAGATTAATTGTATAATTAATCTTGTATACATCATGTGAACTTGGGCCATTGAAACTAGCCCAAATCCAAATAGATTCAACACGTAGTCCTAATAAAATTGTACGTTTACTTTTCAGATGAATTGATCTTTAATTTTTTTTTCTCCTTTAGTAACTGATTTTGTGCCTAGCGAGGGCATAAGTTCTTTAGAAAATGAAGTTACGATCTGATATAACTTATATAATATTATAATTTGAAAATATAAACTTGTGCTTTTTGCAAAAGAATTATTTATTAGGAGAGACAAATTAAAAACCAGCCCAAAATTGAGACAAAAGTCCAGATGACCTATAGTCCCCTCGTAATGTTTTGTTTTTAATAATAATACTTGTCAAATATTAATAAAAAATATGCCTTTATGTTAAAATGAAGTGGTGTATTGGTATTATTAAGGGGTGCAGCTTTGAATCTCCATTATTTGTTTTATACAAAAATACCATGAAATGACCTAAAGATTTGTTGAACATTTTTGAATTTTTCTTAGGTATTATTATATTATTTTCAATTCCAAATAGCTGTCACTCTTTTGAATTTCTTATATATTTGAATATTTGCAAGGAAATTTCATGGAAATGACCATATATTATAAATATAGCAAGAGTTATATTTAGTTATAAAAGCATTTTCCAAGAAGTATCCCAAAATTCAACTCAATAACTTATTAGTCCTAAATTAATTTGACTTAATTAGTATTAACAACTTAATTTCCTTGACATTTCCTATGTGGATATATTAGCAAATGAGAAAGACAAACGTGAGAGAATGTCACTCAATTATGTGTCAATAATTCTGGTTTTTTGTTTCGTTTTTCGTTCGATATTTGATATTTGATTTTAGGTTCAATTATTTGAAAAGAAAATATAATTATATTAAATTAAAATCAAACGCAATACTAGGTCACCAAAATAATGTAGATTAGCAAGCATAATTGTGTACTTATCTGATCCATGATTGCTCAATATTTATATAAAAATTAGAGAAGAATTTATGTATAATTATTGAAATTTCGATACATTACAAATCTTTATCACGATAGGTCAAACCTACACACCAACTCAATGTAGATTCATCAAATATATAAGGTTCACGATCCAATACTAATTTTAATTATCACACATCATACCCAAATTATCTAAAATATACATTTAATAATGTAATAATTGACCCTTTAATCTTTTTTGACATAGGTCATAACTCATAACCAATAACGTTTCCTATAAGAAACCTTTAAAAAACTAAAAAAAGCCATATGTAATAAATTATATTTTTCATACATATTTGAGTCCATTTCAAATTGTAATTTAATTTATCTGATAATATTAAATCATATTGTATTAATTAAATTTCAAATGGCATCTTATTTCTTATAAATAAAATTTTATTAACGAATATTCCAAATGGTACCGGTCAATACCCTTTTTTTTTTTAATTAAATCAATCTTATCCTTAAACCTTGCTCTCTTTAATTTTTTTTTGTATAAAAACCACACAACCTATAAGAGACTCCAACCTATAACCTAAAATAAACCATTTTTTTGCAATCCAAACTGAAAAAAAACGTTATTTTTTTTTGAGATTCAAAATTTTCGATCATTTCAATTTTATGATTTAGATCCAGTATCACAAGTCATATCGTTTATATAAAATGATGCAGATGTTGTTAGCGGCAGCTTTTATGGCAGCTCCACTAACACTCTTTTTACCGCCATTTCGAAGCTTAAACTCGTTCGTGGAGTCGTTAGAATTTTTACACCATGAGACCACATCAATATGTAATTTAAATACCGTTCTTCGTTTTCGCGATTTCTTCTCTAGATACATGGACATCCCTCATGTACTTCTCCTCTCATCTCCTCCACCTCCAACTCTAAGGTAGTAGTGGTTTTATATAAGTTGTGCATTGTTTTTCTCTCTTTAATTTTATGAACAAAGTTTATTTTAAGTTGTAGCATGTTCAAAAAGTTGAAAATTTATGTTGCTTTTTGAAGTGTAATAAAGTTTGAATTTACTTTGTGAGAAGAAGACCAAAATATTTCATTATCTATGAGACTATATATTTTGCTCTTTGTATGTGCCATTGATCATATGATGTAAGTTCAGCCTCATTTGTACGATGTAATTTCACGAATGAAGTTTAAAGAGGATGGTGTATATGACAATTTTTTTTTATCTTAAAAGATAGAAAAGTTTTTTCGATAAATTTCAACTCAAGAAAATAACAAAAGTGAAGAAATTATTTAAGTTATTGTATTTAATAATGTAAATTTATTTAACACCATCAATATAATTTAACAGAATATTAGAGCAATAATAAAGTTTTTTCGTATAATTTAAAGATTACAATTTATGAGTTCAAATCACGAAAGTAATCACTAATATTTGTATTAGGATAAGTTACTTATATCATACCTTTATGAAGTGCATGCTTCTTCGTGTCTTATGTGAATACAAAATATTTTGTGCATCAAGCTATCTTATTTCTCCTTTTTAGTACAACTTAACATATTATCGTAGACTACTCACCATTTATAACTTTTGATAATCAATGCTTACTAAAATAAAGTTACGCATAATTCAATGCTCATTAAAATAAAGTTACACATAATTATTTTTTAAATAATCAGATAGTATAAATATATTTTACATTATCGATGTACAGTCCATTCGGGGGGTGATGCCACCAATAAAAATTTTTTCATACCCAAGGCTCAAAATCGAGACTTCTGGTTAAGGGTGAAGCATTTCCGTCGGTGCATCACGACCCATGTTGGTGATGAATCTTTTAGTTAATACTAGGCAAAACACAAATCTTTAATCTAATTTAATTTGTTGTCATCTTTTTTTACCTCTAAAAATAAATATTTGTACTTTGTTTGTTTCAATTTACGTAATACTTTTTATTTTTTAACCACATAATTTAAGTTTGATCGAAAATTTACGCATGAAATCTTTAATTTTTTTTAATTTAAATTTATATATTTGTAAACCAAGAAAAAAGTACTATAGTTATAATAATTAATAATTCAAAATAATTAGAATATATATATGTGAAAAATTAACAATGAAATATAAACTTTTTTAATTATAAAAATCAAAAAATACTACATAAATTGAGACAGATAGGAAATAATATAGTGAACTCTTTGACTTCTTAAGTACATTTCAACTTTGATTGATTGGAAGCCTATAATCGGGTTAAACGAGGATCCGACTCAATGACCCAAACCCGGCTTCTTTCCTACTTGTTCTCTTTTTCTTTTCAATTTTTCAAATCTGGACAATTTTCTGCTCCAAAATTTTGAAAAACCCTCTATAATGGAAGCTCTGCAATTTCTGAACTGAAGAGATTCATCAGTTTTTCGGCTCTTTCGTAGCATAGAAACACTACTAGAAATCGAAGGTTCCAGAAAAATCTAGCTTTTTTTCTCTTTCTATTGGTATTTCAAATTTATGGTGTCAAAGTTGGGAACTTGATGAATGTATATGGAAGGAGTATCAGGTTCTTGAAAAGCTTTTATTTTTACTGATATTAGTTTATTGTTTCATTAATTTCATTTTTCTTTGAAGAATTTCTGTATATTTATCACAGTGTAGCAGAAAAGGTTTTACATTTTTGTTAGTTCTTCAGTGTTTTTACTACCTGTTATTATTTAGCTTCGTTATTATATTTTCTTGTTTTAGTTTCTGCTTGTTACTGTTCGCTCTTTTGCATTTTGTTCAGTTGAGGGTTTATTGGGAACAGCATCTTGGACTTCTCATGGTAGGGGTGAAGTTTAGGTATACATGTGGGATTATACTTATCTACCGTCTCAAAGCAGGGATAAGGTTTGCGTTTACTCTAACTGACCCCACATGTTGATTACACTTGGTTTATTGTTGTTGTAGTTAGCCAGTGTTTTGTGGTATGAATTTTCTGAGTGACAACTGAGAATGTTCTTGACTATTTTTATCCTATAGATGTAAATAAAGCTAAAACATGGGAAAGGAACTTTATTTACTTTTGTACTCTTACCAAATTAAGTTGATCATGTTCCTTTCTTCTGTTGTCCCAATTGGTTTTGCTTTCTCAAGAGGGAGTAATGAGTATATTGGTTCCTGTGGGAGGCGGAATGCTTCGTGGACCGATTTGCGTCTTTTTTGTTTTCCATGTCATTGGTTCTGTGTTCGATCTGTTAATTGCATATGGGTGACCTTTTGCTGTGTAAATTAAGTTAGATGAGCGGAGAAGGATTTTATGCTATGGTGACTGCTATTCTATCTAGTATCTAGTATTGGGTGTAGTAGAGTGATCATAATTTATTTCTAGCCTAATAATCTTCATTGACTTGACGTAAAAAAAAAAGATATACCCAGTTTTCATTTGATGGTCTTACTTAGCTAAAACATGAGCTTCTCTATCTCCACGAGGTAGTCTTTGTACATTTTGCCCTCCCGAGACCCCACTTGTGAAATTTAACTAGGTATGTTGTTGTTGTTGTACTAAGTAAAAGCATAATATTCAATTTGAGAAGAAAAGGCTAGTGTAGAAGTATGATCTAATTAGTTGGAACATAACATCGTTTTTAGTCCTTCTTTCTATCCGTAAAGCTCATAAGCTTACTGATTACAAGGCTGATGCAACTGACAGAGGTAAGTGTACAGTGAAATAAAGGAAGCTATTAAAGAATTAGCATTGGTGGGGGACTAGAAGGAAATCCTTGATCCAAGAGGCTGTAGTTCTAAGTATGTATCATTGATTTTATTTGAACTCATATGCCGGCTGGGAATGTGAATTTCTAGTAAATACTCATTGATATATGCAATTTTACGTTTTCAGTTTCAGCTTTTTAATAGGCTTTGGTGGGGAAGCTCCCATCTAAGGAAATCAAGAAAAGTGTATGCTATGTTTACTTGCTCAAGGAATTGTTTAATTATGTTTACTTGACATGTTTTACCATTTCTCAACAGAAGCCCCAATTTGATTTGGCTTGTTTGAGGCCTTGGATAAGTTCAATAATTTTCCGTTTGGAATTTTTTTTTACTAAGAATGTAATTTGGTTATTGATTTAATGGGTGCAGGAATCTAATATTTTGTTACTTTTGTCATTATCGTGTATTCATTGCGTTGTCATCCCTTCTATGTCTATGTCAAACAGCTAAATAACAAATTTATGGTCTCTGAAGCACTGCAATAGTCTTTCATGGCTACCACACTTGCATGTGCATCATCTCTGCCATGGATTTGGGTGATTGAAGCATTGGCAAGTTCCCGTGAGATTGACACATCTTTACTCATCAGTATGTGTGAAGTTACAATTGCTTTATTTTGTGGTAGCTGTTTTTGAATTGTGGGCATCAGAGTTTGACTTTAATAGTTCATGCATAATAGATTTGGTTAAGAAGACTCCTGCAATCTCTGATGATCTGGGGAGAAATGCAAGGGAAATGGTTTCCTTGAGACTTTTAGAGAGCTTATTTGTTCGGGAAAACTCAGATGCAAATAGTGTCGCTTCAGTTCCAGGTGACAAAGTTGAACTTGATCCGTCAAGGGACTGCGAAGATGTCCTTCGCTGCATATTGTTGGAGGTAATTAGTTCCGTCTTCTACTTATATATGGTAGATTATTTGATTCGGTTATTTGAAAGCTCCATGCAAGGGACCTATTTCAAGGGAATGGTCTCCTTTAGAGTTACTTCTGTTTTACATATGCTTAGTTGTGTCTTTGCATGTAAATGTACAGGTGTCTGCATCAAATCTAAAAACAGCTACTCCAGATATGTTAAAGTGGGATGTTCTGTCGTTCATTACGAAAAAGAGATCTATCTTGTCAAAGAGTCACTTGCAACAAGTAAGCTAGTCGTCTTTTGAATTGGTTGGAAATATGAAAATATGCCTGATTGGGATTTGCTATATTTTCTGTTGATAAACAGTTTAAAGATGCGATTGTGAAATCGACGACTTCTTTTTCCACTTCCTTGAAAGAAAGAAGTGGATTGGAGTTGGGGAACCACTACAGAGACGGTGTTACTGCTGATGCTATTGATTCTGATGGCTTTAAGCAGGGACGTAAAATAGGAGGTGTGAATACCCGACATGCTGCACCAACTGAGAACTTGGATACTTTAATACAGGGCAACAAGAATGGCCTGCAAGAAAATCAGCCTGGAAGCTCTCTGCTGCCTGTTAAGAGAAGTTTTGATGCCCCTACTGCTTATGAAATAGAAGTCAATAAAACTAAAGCCATACCAGAGATAAGTTCTGATCCATGTGCAAAGGCAGCCAAAAAGTTTAAGCAGGATGTTGCTGGTTTCATTCAGAACACTGTTCCTGATTTGATATCGTCTCAAAGAGGTGGAGTCCCAGCAGAATCATGTGGAGGAAGTCAATCTATTGTTCAAAAAAGGAACTCGAAAGGTGATGGTACCCTCGAAGCAAATGGATGCCTGAAGGATGGTAAAGCAAAGCATGCTGGATCAGCAAGTGTTTTATGTGGCATTGACTCTAGTATCAAGGATCTGTTGCCTCAAAGAATGAGTTCAGACAAGAAGTTCAAAAATATTGGAAGTAGCAGTAATTGTTGTCCTGAACAGGGAATATCAAGTGACTCATCCCTGCGTGTGATTCAGCAGGATTCTCGCACTTGTGGCTCCAAAGGTGACCTGGATTATAATCTTCCACGAGATCTGCAAAATGGCGAACCTTCTAATGCAGACAAAGAGAATATTGAGCAAAGTCGTGAATCTGAGTTCTCTAGTGATACTGATGAGTATCACTATGAGAGTACTGCTCTTGCTTCACATAAAAATGATTTTTTGAACTTGCAATACGCTCAGGGTGAAGATTCTTTGGCAATTATTGACTGTACAGAGCTTAATCTTTGTGTGAAGTGTAACAAGGGGGAAAATTTATTAGTTTGTAGTTCTGATACTTGCTCTTTGGTGGTTCATGAAAGTTGCTTGGTTTCTGCACCCAACTTTGATTACAAAGGAAGCTTCTATTGCCCCTTTTGTGCATATTCTCGAGCCATTTCTGAGTACCTGGAATGTAAGAAGAAGGTCTCACTTGCTAGGAATGATTTGGCTGCATTTATTGGCATGGGAGCTGGAAAACAATCAAAGAAGTCACTACCTAGGTCACAAGTTATGAAGAAGCATCAATCTCGAGAGGGTAAGAATTCATTGAATGAGGTCACAGAAGCAGGAAGTGCTCCAGCCGATAGGAGTTCTGTCGGAGCTCAAGTCATTCAAACCAGTGCTCCTAAACCAGAGCCTTCTCTACCTTGCAATGAAAAAATGAGGAATTCATTGAATGAGGTCACAGAAGCAGGAAGTGCTCCAGCCGACAGGAGTTCTGTCAGAGCTCAAGTCATGCAAACTGGTGCACCTCAACCAGGAACTTCTCTACCCCACAATGATAGTGGGAGGAATTCGTTGAATGAGGTCAGAGAAGCAGGAAGTGCTCCACCCTACCGGAGTTCTGTCGGAGCTCAAGTCATGCAAACTGGTTCACCTCAACCAGAGGCTTCTCTACCTGAACAATGCTTAGTAGCTGGTCAACAACCCGACAAATCACCTCTTAGATGTCAGAGATCAAGACATAGATCAAGACAGAATCAGTCCAGATCGGAAGAAGAATTGTGTCATGATGAGAATAGAAACAAAAATTCTTTGGAGAAGGCTGAACCAGCAGGAAGTCATAGATCAAGACAGAATCAGTCCAGAGAGGAAGAAGAATTGTGTCATGATGAGAATAGAAACAAAAATTCTTTGGAGAAGGCTGAACCAGCAGGAAGTCATCCAGTAACTAGAAATTCTATGCATGCGGAGGTCACGCAGGTCCATCCACCTCAACCACATGTTCCTCATGAACATGTGTGCCAAGAAAGTTCTTCTATAGAAGTAAGTTCTGAAGAAGAGCAAGATGAGATAGGTTCCGGATACCTTGTACAATTTAGGAATCAAGAAAACAAGTAAGTCTTTTGCACTTCTCCACTTATTCAAATCATGTGGTCGCTTCATATATTCTTCCAAGAAGTGTCATCTGATTCACTTATACTTTCAAGTGTCTGCACTTATTTCTGTTTTCTCATCTCTTTTATATTGAATCAAAACATTTTGTTAATAGTGATAATCAGGCACGTGAATTACTGTTTTTTTTTTTTTTTGGTTATGATTTATACCTCTGATAGTTTGCTGTTCATTTTTATTGTTAGAGGGAGTAGTTGGAAACTCTGTTGATAAAGGATGTACTTTTAATTTGCAGTTTCTGTCCCTGGATTCCTCAAATGAGGAGGAAGAAGCTCCCATGGACAAAAATGGAGGAGGAAACATTAAAGGTACATGCATATTCTTTTGTCTAAAGTTTGCTTGTTTACTGCCTCACGCTTCTTCTCTCCTTGAAAATGTGGTTAGAATGCACCCCCTTTGTTCAAATAGAAGGTAGATCATGCATATTCTTTTGTCTAAATTTTGCTTGTTTTCTGTCTCATGCTCTCTCTCTTCTTGAAAACGTGGTAAGAATGCACCCCTTTGTTTAAATAGAAGGTAAAATTCATCTCTTTTTCTGTAAGTGCACATATATTTACTTATGAAAAAAGAAAAGATTGTCCCATTCAATAGGAATAAGGGGTTCCTTTTTGTTGGTTTCACTTGAACGTTGGAGGAATTTACATGCAGCTGTGCTTTTTCTTTCATGTTGCGTATATTTAAGGGAAATATATCAATTTTACTAGCCTTTGTTGTTGCTTTCGCAGGAGGGATTGCTACGATTCTCACATTTTCATGATAGATGGAAGAGGATTCTAGATTTTGGAGGTGATGTTTTCATGAAAGGTAGGACACCGGGGGACCTCAAAGATAAGTGGAGAAACATTAGCAAAGCAGACGAGAAAGAAACATAAAGGTTTCTTTTTTAAAATAGACTCTATATATATGTATTTGTTGTCTAAAATTGTTGAGTGCTTTATGTTGCTAAAGTCTCTTCGATGGTAGTTTTTGTTAGAATTTTTTTTGGAATGAATTAAGGTAAGAAGCCAAAATTAGAAGTTCCCATGCAGCTTCCAGAAAATAGCATTTTGTTATGAACTTTTCTCTAGGTTAAGTGTAGAAACGTTGAAATTCCTGCTTGTAAATGTTTTGAAGATTTAATAACAACCTTGTTTAGCAAGTCTACCACTTTGTTTGATCTTTTATGATGTCAATGATATGAAATGGTCACTTTTTGAAGTATGAATACGACATCGATTTGTGACAGTTTTAATTCTGTTGCTTCGAAAGTAGTTGTTCCAGCTTCAGCCACTCGAGTTTTAGTTATTTCTTTTGATTTCTCATCAAATGAATGATACAATTTAAGACATTGACTAGGCAGGGATTCACTGTGCAAGAAACATGTTTATTTAGTTCTATGGTTATGGTGTGTGTATATATTCTGTATTTTTCTATTCCATGTATGTACGACGTGCATAACAATCCTCCACGAGGTAAGTGTAAGATCTACGTACATTCTATCCTTTCGTTCTTCAACAAATTGGTAAGCTTATATTTCGTCATCATATATGCAAAGGGGAACATAAGCCCGTGTTTCTCCTTTTATTACTCTCACAGGTTTACTACTACATATTACTATTAGTCTTCTTCAACTAGTTTTTTTTCTGTATACCATTTCTGGTCAACTTGTCATTAGTTTACTGGGTGAAATGACCTTTATACCCCTCCCATCGAATCGAGTGTAGCGGGAAAAAAAACAATAATGCCACGTGTCCTCTATTTACTGGATCGATGTGTCCGTAACGTTTTTCCTATTTGTACAATGTAATTCTCTAACGGGGAAATTCGATCGAACTCCTTCCGAATCATATATATATATATATATATATCTCTGGGGTGGACGTTGGATCCACAAAATAACATAAATTGTGAGTTAACTTTTGTCCAGATTGTTAATTTATTAAGAAATTCATTAAATATCTATAAATACTCAAACTATGAACCCAATTGTTAATATTTATGATATAACTTGAGAACCATGCCACTCCCTGACCTCGAAAATCGAACTTTCCTCGAGTCTATTCTGAATCCATTTGTCACTTCGTGACCTTGAAAATCACGCTTTCTTTTGAATCTATCATATAAAACGTTACCTATAACTTTAAATTCTGAATCTACTTCTGTCATTCTCGAGTCCATTTGAGAGTGTGGTTCAAGTTGTGTTGTGTGCGTACGTATAAGACTGCATGGGATAAAGATGAATGTAAAGACTCGAGAATCAGGCTGTGAATGTCAGGAAAAAAAATACATGTGAAATTTAGAGGCTCGTGAATTTCAAAAATTCTTGTGAGGTGCTTTTTAATACTTATACAAAATTTATTAGTAAAAATTCATCACTGGCTAGTATTTCTTCTTCTGTGACTTTTATGAGAGAAGAAGAGTGTAGTGTGTTAGACCATTTTGAATTTATTATTAAATTAGAGAATCCAAGGAATGTGAGGTGTCATACTTCATTCAATTCAAAGCAATCTTTTTAGTTTGAGATTACAACAATGATGGATTTCATTAGAGAGTATTGTCTTTCTTTATATGATTTTTACTTTGACACGAAATGAAGCTTAAGAAAATGGAGAAGGTTTTTTTTTATCTTATGGTATTAAACGGAAGATAGGTAAAATAATGTCAAAAAAGTTGCATTTGATCTTATGATCTTAATCATGACATGTAAAAAGTTAGAATTAAAGAGTAAAATGAAAAGGAAAAAAAATTCTTTTAGATCAGACAATAAGATAAATAAAGAGAAGAATTAACCTAAATAACATTGACGCAACCACTTAAACTAAAAGTAATCGATGGATATATAATATATTATAATACATGCAATATGTGTATAATCATACATAATCAGTATATAATCTATATATTTCAGCTAGAAAAAGTAAATTATGAATCTAATCATCTATTTGTATAGAGTGTTATAGAACCACTTATCATTTCCCTTAGGTTATCCGTTTTACCGTATAAATAACCTGATTGTGTAGAATTTTTATCTATTATTGTCACTGTGTATAACTTAAACTTCGTAAAATGAAAGAATGAGAGAAATTAGAACTAAAGAATAATGTGACTTTGACATTATATTCAGTGTACACTGTTTACTACTTAGCTCAAACGGTCACATGCATGAGCTCTTATAACACTAACAAACGTGAAAACATTTAAATCAAAACTACAAATTCTTCCCTTATACACACATATATATATTACTACTCCTTCCAATATATATATCTCACACTCAACACTTAGCAAAAAAAAAAACAATACTACACTTTCTTGTACGACACTGATAGTCTAGTCTAGCGTACTATAAACGGGCTTTCAATTAGCCCGAAAAGTGAACACTCTACGGATCTTCGACACTGATAATCTAGTCTAGCGTATTGAACGGGCTTTCACTTGGCCCGAAAAGTTAACACACTAAAGTCTGTTGTTTTGCTTCGCCTACTTATCCAAAGTTAACTACACTTCACTAAGCTTTGGCCTTTCAGTACGATACAGATAATCTAGTCTAGCGTACTGAACGGGCTTTATGGATAGCTACAAAAGAAATCCACTAAAACCATGGAAGAAGGGCCCGGCAAGAGGGAAAGGGGGCCCGCAGAACGCGTTATGTGAATACCGAGGCGTTCGACAGAGAACATGGGGTAAATGGGTAGCAGAAATAAGAGAGCCTAAAAAGAGAACTAGGCTATGGTTAGGATCTTTTGCTACAGCTGAAGAAGCTGCAATGGCTTATGATGAAGCAGCAAGAAGATTATATGGACCAGAAGCTTACCTTAATTTACCTCATATGAGAGCTAATTTCAATCCACTGAACAAATCACAAAAGTTCAAATGGTTTTCATCAACCAACAACTTTGTTTCATCATTGATACCAAATACCACTGGCTTACTCAACTTAAGTGCTCAGCCAAATGTTCATGTAATTCACCAAAGGCTTCAAGAACTCAAGAGAGCAGAGGCCGCGGCTGCAACAGCAGCAGCAGCAGCAGCCTCATCTTCGAGTTCATCAATCACCGACATTCCCAAAAATGAAACTCAAAAGTATAGTAAATTACAACCTGAATACTTGACAATGACAAGTCCACACGTGATGATCAAGGAGAAGGAAGATGAATTCTCATCACACAACAATGTAGCCGTTCGTGGTGATCAAGCTGAGAAGCCTCAGATTGATCTGAATGAATTTCTTCAACAGATAGGAATACTGAAAAGAGACGATCATCATCAACAACAACAGCCTGATAAAAATCAAGATCATGATCATAATAATAATAGCATCAGTAGTTTCACAGAGTCAAGAGTTTCACTAAAAGACGATAGTTCAATTGCTCATTTATTTGGTGATACAACAAGTTACAATTGGGACACATTGGGTTCAATAACAGGTATAGAAGATCATGAGGTAGCAGCAGAAGAGGCTAATAGCTTTTATAATGTGAATGATGAGCTTATGTTTCCATCTTCAATATGGAACTTTTGAAAGAATTTATCTTATATACACTGAATGTCGGTATATTTTAACCGACTATATAAGGCTATTGCAGAACTTTTAACTTAAATAGAATAAAAAACTTAATTAAATATCAAGTCAGGCAATTATAAACCAATTGTATTTCAAAATAGAGAGTCCTCTATCACGTGGAACTTAGATTCAGTTCTTTTAAAAAACTGGGAATTAATTAAGTTCATGTTCTATATATTTCACAATAAAAATTTTCAAATACATACTTATATATTTTTAACCATACAATAAATTGATTTATAGTTTAAGAGACCAATGTCTGCTCAATCCATTCTTCTCAGACCCAGGAGAGCCTCCTAAGCCACTATTAACAGTGAAGTAACATCATCTTAATAGACACCACAGGTTGAACACAGAAATGAGTGCAAGCTTGAAAATTAAGTTCCGGGGTAATAGGATACTCGCATGGTTTAGACGTGTAACCAACAGTTTCATCACAGTTGAGGGTTGTTCTCATGCATTATCCCGAGTACATACGTTTACCAACAGAAAATTCTGATATAGATCAACAGGTCAAAAGTTAAAATGGCAAACAGTTCAATACAGGGAGAAGCGTCATCACTCAAGCAAGCTAGTGGCGTTCTTAACTGACTGTTCCTTGGGAGGTTCAACAAAATCCCGAAAGGAAAACAGGGAGGCGTATATCTAGCTTTAAAAACAACAAGTACATTATTGTTACATTAAGCAACGACATCAAATTGATAATGCCTAAAGTTACTACAAGCTTAGCTAAGGTTTACCAGCAATTTGAAGTATATGATTCTGGTAATATGACGAGCGTATCTAAAATCACTTGTAGATAAGGGCGTCACGACCAGGCCCAATACCAATGTAGTGGATAGGTACCCCAACAAGCTCCTCTATCCTTTCTACATACTCGCGTGCAGCCTTGGGCAAGTCAGAATACTTCCTGATTGAAGAAATATCAGTTTTCCATCCAGGCAAAACTTCATACTCCACCTACATAGATGAGAAAAAGGAAAACATATAGTAGAAGTCACAAACACACAATACAAGAAAATAGAAAACGGTAATAAGATACAAGCAACATGGGGCATTAAAGAAGTATCAATATGCATACTAAAGGTCTACCGACATGAAAAGCCAATAGAAAAAAATCATGATATATGGGAGAGAAAAGGCAGATTGAAAGAACAAAAAAGTTGCAAAAATTAGGGAACTTCATTTTCATCCACCTTCCGGTAATAGGGTAGAGGAAATTAAACTATAGTTAACTCCTCGCTGAAAAACATAACTTTTATGAAAAGGTTTTAATGTTTTCCCACACATCAATGTGTTAATATGGCTCAATTTCCCAAAACATTCACATAAAAATTGAAACTAATAATCTGGTCTTCCAAACACCACAAAGATCATCACGTAAAAAGATGTTGAAGTGGGAAAACAAAAGAAACTTACCTTTATTTGTTCGAGAAGACTTAGATCAGAAGGAAAAGAATTTAATGTTGAACCATCAGGATGCCTGTAAGTAACACCCAACTGAATTTCTGATAGATCTGACAGCACATCTAGTTTTGTCAGGTTTAGAGAAGCAAATCCATTTATTTGACAGCAGTATCTTAGTGCAACTATGTCTAGCCAA